GGCACTCATTCAAAACCGAAAGAGTGACGCTACATTTACCATCAGGGTTTCGAATGGATGCCGGAAAAGTGTTCTTAATGTTCCCATGATTGGGTAACCGAGGGGAACAAATCTCTTCCATTTGTTCAGTTCTGGCTGGTGGTGAGGCAGAAGTTGATGGTGCTACAACTGGTGTTGAAGTAGGAGGTGGATGAATATCAGAGGTAAAACACCTCTAACTTGAAGCAACAACTGGAGCCCGAAAACGAGACTCTGCATTTTCAACTGTTTCTATTTCTGTGAAGAATCCTTGAATTTTTTCCTGTTGAGCATCCGGTTAAGCAGGGGGAGATATTCTTCTTCTCCTTTGAAGAGAAACTGTTTTGTCATCGTCCTCAGTTTCATCTTCGTCAAGCACCACTGTGATTGGTCATGTTGGAGCTTTATTTGTTGAAGGCTTCTCTAGAGTCTCAGCTTCTTTTTATTTTTTTTCTCCTTAGGCTGGGGACTCAAGGAGGATGGGCCTTCACTAGAAGCAAGAGCAGCATCATAAATCCTCTTCTGGTCAATGATGGCTTGAATTTGTTGTTAAGCCATAGTTGGGTCATGGAAACCTCAACAACATGGCAAACAGAAGACCCCTTCGGAAGGCCTGTGTATTATAAAAAGGAGTCAGTAAATTTGTATTATGTCATGTTGGAGATTGAAAAGGGAAATGAGAAGTTTTACTTACCATGGTTCTTGACCTTCCAATTAAATTTGGGTGAAATTTCTGTCCACTTACGGGAGTCCGGTGTGGAAAAATCTAAAATCTTTTGTACCATTGGGTCAGATTTTGAACCGATGGTGGAGCTCAATGGGTAGCTGAAATAAGAGAAATAAAAGTTAGCAAAGAAGGGAACTTTCTTTAACGCAATAGGAAAAGGATGTCTGAAAAACTTACGAGTAAAGTTTCAAGATTCAGGAATAGAAGGTGTTGTCGCCGAAAGGATGTCCCTGGTAGCAATGACAATGAACCTTTCCATCCAACCATGGTCATTATCATCATCGACACTAGTAACGATGGCATAATGACCGCGTTTGCTGAGTTTGATCATACCTACACCTAAATTCTCTGGGGGAATAAAGGTTGATCAAATGGGCAAGAGTGAAGGTTTCACCGGCCCAGAAGCACAATATCCGAAGGCAAGTCACCGTTCGCCATATTAACGGACTTACCTGAGCCAAAAAGATTTCGTAGTTGTAGTAAAACTCTAAAATAATGGGATCAATTTCATGGCCCATTCTTAGAGTAAAAGGGTATGTGTAAATGTGCATGACCCTGGTTTACTGAAGGTGACCTTTCTCACTTCATTGAGGGTTAAAACTTCAATATTTTTTCAGTCACAATCTTTTTTCACAATAGGGATACTAGTAGGACGGATGGAAGAAGGATATCTGCTAACGGGCCAATTTATGTCATTTTTAGGGTTATGAGGTTCCTTTTGTACTTGAAAATATGTCTCAAAATTTAATTGAGAGGGGATGATTTTATTGGTAGTAGGAGGACCGGTATCGACTTCCTTGGTTTTATTCTTCTTAGCAGGGCCACCACTGATATAAATGCCTGAGTTACCGAAGGCAGAGGTAGTAGAAGACACGACGATGGAAAATATGAGTAAGAAAATTTTACTGAGAAATAAAGGTTTGCAGAAAAACATCAAGGAAATTTGAAGAACAAGAGTTTGTAAAAGTGAAAGGTAAAAATGATGAGAAGAGGAGAAGTTTATAGGCGGCAGAATTCATCGTCAACATTACCTAGGAAACATGCGAAATTATTTGCTGAATCACGAGATAACACGTGTTCGGCTCATTAAATGCAAGGACACAATGCGTCCTTTCAAATGTCAGAAATTGTTCAGGAATTTTTTCGCCAAGAAAAGAGGTCTTATCTACTTCCCGATAACATAAAGTTTAGTCACCGGAAAGTAGGGGGACTATATGTATGGGATAAAGTTGGTAAATGACAGGTGGACGCTCGTCAAGTTGACGCATGACAGTGAAGATAAATAAGATATGAGTCAGCAAATAGTTGGCACTTGTTATGAATATGTGACATGTGACGCCGGAACCAAGGGTGAAAGTTTGAAAGGAAGATGTCGCTCGGAAAAGGCAATATTCAATGAGCAGTCGTTACAAAGAATCTTCGCATTTATACCCAGCTGTTATGCAACCATCAAGATAAGTTTTTATTCATATTAAAGAAGAGCTTGGTTTGGGGATCTTGTCTCCTAGAATTGAGCTATAAATATAAGAATTTATATTCATAGGGGACGAAAACATCTGTATGCAAAAAAGCAAAATCTGTTCTTATTCTACTAACAACATTCTTTCTTTTTGTTCTACATATTGTTCTTATTCTTACTTTCGGAGAAGCTCTTCTCACTGTCAGACTTGTATTTTCTTCAAGACTTAATCAGTTTATTTCTGTTCTTAGTTATTTTATATTTTCAGATCAAATTAATTCACGTGTCTATAAATCACGTTACAAATTCAACAGTACCATTTTACCGGTAAACACCTATAATAGTATTTTCTTAAAGAAAAGGAGCTTCACTTCTTTGTACAATGTTTATCAATTCGTTTCTCACGGAGAGAATTTCCTAGTTATTTCCATTTTTAAGAGATGATATTTCTTGGTGTGGTCCAAATCAAAGACAGCGAAGCAGTGAAATCATGTGAAAACAAAAATTATAGTACCACACTATAAATTATAGAACGTGACAAGTAAATTAGCTCCTCATGCTGAGAGAGTCACGTAATGTTTAATCTCCAGTCAAAAACTCTTAGTTTATTGTATTGTAATATATGATGCATTGTTCGGTACATTTTATAAGCCGTGTTAACTGTCCAAGTAGTTTAAAGAAAAAAAAATCTTAGGCACATATCAAATATATCATTAGAACTTGTAATGTAAATCATCTTATAATAGTTTTATTATTTACTTGAGTATGTTATTGAGGATAAAATGTAAAATTTAAAATTGAAGAATTTCTAAATATAAAATTAATTCTTTTTTTAAAATAGACTAAAAGAAGAGTGCCACTAACATAGAGCAATAGGGAGTTGACAATATACTCCCGTTATTTTAATTTATGCGAGGTAATTAACTTGGACACATAATTCAAAAAAGAAAGACAAGTTTTTGAGACTTGTAATTTTACACATGTGATACCATTTGTATGACTATAAAATTATATTATTGTGGGTAAAATAAAAGTTAAAGTTAAATTATTTCTATATGTCAAAAAATATCTTATTTTAAATAGATTAAAAAGAAAATAATATATACTACATCCGTTTCAATTTATTTGAATCTATTTTCTTTTTAATCCGTGCGAAAAAGAATGACCCCTTTCCATATTTGAAAAGAATTTACCTTTATGCAATAATTTATAGCCACACAAAATATATGTATCTCATTTTACATCACAAGTTTAAAATTTTTCTATTTTTTTTTAAACTCTATGCCTAGTTAAATAGGTGCATATAAATTGAAACGGAGGGAGTAACATAAAATGGAATACATCAAATGAAAAACTAAGAGCAAGGAGGTCTGGTGAAGTGAAAGTCTTGACAAGTTTATGCCTGGGGATTTTGTTACCCATTTCCGCAGATTGAGATAATGGATTAATCTGATAAGACAACGATATTGATGGATATCAAGATATTATTATGTTGTTTTTTGTAATCTGCTTGTCTCCATTGCCGACAATACTTAGCCTTTGTGATACTAACTGTATAGGTCGAAATCTGGCTGATAATATTCGAAATAAAATTATCCAGATAGAGGGAGTCTCGAGTCGTCATTAGCCGAGGTGGGCCAAGAAGCAGAAGTACTCGGAGCNTCGCAGCCGAAAAGTCGACGGGAGCAATGGTCGAGATGACAACAATGGTCGAGGTCGAGCATCACTGATAAGGCTGTAACGACTAGTTTTAGAAATAAGATATTAAAAGGAATATTCTAGCGAATATTCTCTGCAGTTTGTACTGTTAGGGTTTGTTAGAAATGTCTCATATATATAGGAAGAGGGGCCAATAATGTGCGGCATGTGATATTCATTTGTAAGAACACACTTTGACAAAAGATTCTCTCTCTCTTACTAAGATACAAGCATCACCTTTTCACCAAGATTCTTGTCTATATTATTCCATACTTTCCAGCAAATCCAAGGATAATTCGAACATTCAAGGATTTGTCTGTCATTTATCATTGTCATGAGGGATAGCCATCTAATTCTTCCTTTATGGGGTGAATCACTCATTCTATTTACTTAAATGACATTCATTATTGTTCGTTGCTATTTAATGCTCTATTATTGCTCACATTACATGGAATGATTGTTGCACACCATCATTATAGTTTCACCATATTTGTCCAACGTTAGTCACGCTTTCAGAACTCGAATTTAGAAATATTATTGTTAACTATTTTTTTTAAGTAACTATACCACTAGGCAGTACTTGCCTAGTGGCTAATATATAAATAAAATCCCAAAATAGGTCCCAAGCTTACAAGATGTACAAACCAAAATAGAAGTTGCATGAAGCTACTAGCTATTAAAAATATAGACAAGCTAAAATCTAATGAACTAGCTATTACAACATAATAAGCTGAATGCTTCCTTCTCCTATCAGTGTATGTGAATCCAATTGCCATTGGCAAATACCAAGCAGCACCTATCAAGCTCTCAACAGGCGTCAGGGTATACTGTCCATAGGCTAAAAGGAATTCCAAATATCTCCACCACAGAGTTGAAGCCAGCATAGTCTTCTAATTGTTAACTAGGTTTAACCTCTTAGTACATAAATTTAATTATTTGAGCCAAGGGTTACACTTTTTGGTCAAACAATTTGGCGTTGTCTGTGCGAATTTCCTAGTTAAATTTTTAGTTTCTTCTAGATCTATCAATAACACGGATCACTAACTAAAAAAAAAAGCAAGAACAAGATCTCTTTTCTTTGTGTGCACAAATCCCAACATGACAAGTAACAGGGAAGAAAGGACGAGAATAATAAGTGACCTCCCAACCAACCTCATGAACGTCATCAATGAAAGTTGCGAAGAAGCATACGGAGACGCAACGCCCAATGCCTCCCCTAGGCGAGATGGGTCACCTCCTCCTCACTCCAGCATCATAAAATCTCTTAGTAAGGTAGCCTCCACATCTGTGGCGGAGGGGGCGTCCCCAGCTGTAAAAACGCTCCTTGAGGCATGGCTAACTAACACATTAAACAGCATCCTCCATAAGCCCGCTCAGGACACGGGTACAGAAAATGCAAGAACTTGCGTTATACAACTAATAGACGAGCAGCACAACCAACTCCCTCCTCCTCCAATGACAGGTATTACTCCCAATGTCGTCAATAGTGCAGGCGATGACGCTCTCGCAGCCATTCTAAACAGAAATGGAGAATGAGAACAGAGCACTCCGGGACCAAATGAGAGAACACCAAAAAAGGATAGATAAGATACCGGGATCCCCTAAGATTTTGCCGAAGAGAGATGCCCCAGCCTATTCGCCGAGCAGCCTTATAGTGGTGATGCCGCCCCACATTCCATACCAAAAACCTTTAAAATATCTCCCTACCTTAGGATATATGATGGCACGACCGACCCTAAAGATCATGTGACTACGTCACCGCCGTGAAAGACAATGACCTCGCCAAAGGACAAGTATCTTCCATTTTGTTGAAAATATTCGGTGAAATCCTCACAGGAGGAGCGTTAACATGGTATTCGCAACTACATGCGCGTTCCATTGAAACTTTTGAAGAGCTGGCCAACAAGTTCGTAACGGCCCATGTTGGGGCCAAGAAGGCCGAGGTAAGAGTGAACGACATATTTGCTATTAAACAGTCTCCGGGAGAGGGATTGAGGGACTTCCTCGCCCGGTTCAACCGAGTAAGGATGACCTTGCCGAACGTGTCAGAAGGGATGGAGGTCGCAGCCTTCCAAAACGGGTTGAGCAGGGATGGTACGAGCGCGACTAGTAAGCTATTAATTCGACTGATGAAGTACCCCCCCAACCACTTGGGATGAAATATACAACGCATATTGTGCCAAGGTCCGAGCAGATGAGGACGACCTCAATGGACCAACTCATCGACTGACCTCGGTACATGCCAAACCCAGAAAAGATCGAAGAAATGATACTAGAAGAGACCTCGCAGCTCTGCGACCTAACAGGGAAGGGCATCAACCGTATGTCAGAGCGGTCGATGCGCCCTCCTCCCGCCACGAAGAAGGCCCGCCTAGATCAAGGACAGGGACTCGCCGGAACGAAAGAAGTATGCCCCATTTATTATTTGCTCACAACTTTTTTGTGTCACCTATAGATATAGTCTATGCCCGGGAGAAGCTCGGACCAAAGGTCAAATGGACGCAAAAGATGAGGTCAGATCCGAGTACCAGAAAGTCAGACGCCCTCTGCGAGTTCCACCAAGAACGAGGGCACAAAACCGAAGATTGCATCGCCCTAAGGCAGGAGGTCGTAAACATGTTACGACAAGGGTACCTCAAAGAGTTGTTGAGCGATCGGGGAAGGACCAACTTTGCCAGAGGACGTGAACAACATCAAGGACCGCCGAAACCGCCCTCACCAAATCTCACCATTCACATGATCATCGGTGGCGGTGACGATTCTTCAATAAACAACGTGAAGTTCACCACCACCAACAAGCTCAAATGGTCAATCACCTGTGAACTGTATGAAAAACTTGAAGAGAGTATCATCTTTGATAAGTCGGATACCAACGATTTCAATTTCCCTTACTATGATGCCCTTGTTATTACTTTACGAATTTCAAATACCGATGTAAGACACATTATGGTAGATGATGGGAGTGGCGCGTGTATTATCCATCCTCGAGTACTTGCACAAATGAAACTCGAAGATAAGGTAGTGTCGTGTTACATTACGCTAACTGGTTTTAACAATGCAGTAGAGCGAACATCTGATGAAATCACATTCCCCGTCCTGGCCGATGGCGTCACTCTGGAAACCACATTCCACATCATGGACAATGACACAACGTACAATGCCATAATAGGGCAACCATGGATACACACCATGAGGGCCATACCTTCCAGCTTATATCAGGTCATCAAGTTCCCGACTCCATGGGGAATATTCAACATATGAGGAGAAGAATGCACATCCCGGGAATGCTACTGCATCGCCCTAGATAGCACAGTCACTCAATAAATGAAGGACAAAGAAAAAGAGGCATATCAACAGGGTCGAGGTTGATATGTGATGATAGCGAGGACGTCATCAGAGAAGTTTACATTGGCTACAAACTTCAGAAACCAGGTAAATTCCGTCAATTCTTAACTACAAACGCTGATATTTTTGCTTTCATCCATGCAGATATGCTGAGTATCCCAAAGGAAATCGCCACGCACAAACTGAACGTTGACCCATTCCACCCCCCAATGAGACATGTCAGGCGTAAGTTTAACTCTACGGTCAATGACGCGGTACATGAAGAGGTGGAAACATTGTTGGAGAATGGCTCCATCAGGGAGTCGAAGTACCCCTAGTGGGTCGCCAACGTGGTCATGGTTAAGAAGAAGAATGGGAAATGGCAGATGTGCATGGATTTCACAAATTTAAACAAAGCATGCCCAAAGGATTCGTTCCCATTACCCCACATCGACCAACTCATCGATGCAACAATCGGGCACGAACTACTGAGCTTCTTGGACATTTATTCAGGTTATAATCAAATCCTCACGGAAGAAGAGGATCAGGAAAAAACCACTTTCATCACCCATCAAGGGACGTACTGCTACAGGGTCATGCCCTTCAGGTTAAAGAAAGCGGGGGTGACTTACCAAAGTTTGGTAACGAGGATGTTCAAGGACCAACTCGGTAAGATGATGGAAGTCTATATAGACGACATGCTGGTCAAGTCCAAAAGGAAAGAAGATCACATCGACCATATGAGAGAAACTTTCGACATACTCAAGCAATACGGAATGAAGCTGAATCCCGAAAAGTGTGCGTTTGGCGTGGCCTCAGGAAAGTTTCTTGGTTTCCTGGTATCATAGAGGGGGATCAAAGACAATCCTAACCAAATCAAAGCCATCTAGGGCATACCGAAACACTTGACCACTAAAAAGCAGGTTCAAAGGTTGATTGGCCAGATCGCCGCCCTATCAAGGTTTATTTCACGATGGACTTTGCCATACTCAAGAAGTATAACAGCCTCCAACGGACTTTGGAGTGCGTCCAAGCCCTGAAGGAATTAAAAGTATGCTTGTCGTCGCCACCACTGATTTCAAAACCAGAGCTTGGAGAACGTCTCCTCGTGTATCTCGCTGTATCCGAAGTAGATGTGAGCACAGTCCTGGTTCGAGAAAACAAAGGTATGCAATCCCCCATCTATTATATTAGCAAAACATTAGTCAACACCGAGACGTGGTATCCTCACCTCGAAAAGCTAGCCCTGGCCTTAGATGTAGCTTCGTGAAAGCTTAGACTGTATTTCCAGTGCCACCCTGTCTCGGTCGTCATGACCTTCTCCCTGAGAAACATTCCGAGCTATCGAGAAGGCTAGCCAAATAGGCCATCGAGCTGAGCGAACATGATATCACGTACCAGCCGCAAACAGCGATAAAGTCACAAGTGCTCGTGGACTTCAGTGCAAAAGTAATGCCTGAAGTTTAGAGAGAAGCCTCTCAAACTCCCCCCCAAACACAAGACCTCTGGGTCCTATACACCGACGGCGCATCCAACGCGTTAAGGGCCAGACTAGGACTCGTACTTGAAGTCCCAATAGGCGAAGTGATTCGCCAGTCCATAAGGTTCCCGGATATGACTAACAACGAGGCCGAGTATGAGGTCGTAATCGCAGGTTTGAGACTATCACTCAAGTATGGGGAAAGACGGTTAAAACTACACTGTGATTCACAACTCGTAGTCAACCAAGTCATAGGGACTTACGAAATCAAAGAACAAAGATTGCAAAAATATTAGACTGAAATCTGCAAGCTGCTGCCCGAGTTTGACGAATGGCAGCTCGACCAAATTCTCCGAGTACAGAACGCTGAGGCAGACGACCTTGCTAAATTGGCCACAGCCACCAAAAGCATTGCAACCGGAGACAAGAACGTAGCCCACCTCCTTAACTCATCGCTTGATCAAATTGAGGGAAGAACCGTAAGCTTCACTTGGGACTGGCACAATCGTATTATTACATATTTATAGGATGATACAGTACTAGATGATAAAAAAGAATCCAAGAAGCTGAGAATGCAAGCGTCCAGGTACGGTATCATCTACAATGACCTGTATAAGAGGACGTACGATGGCCCTCTGACAAAATTCTTGGGGCCAAACCAGACACGGCGCATCCTTGAAGAGGTCCACGAGGGCCATTGTGAAGCTCACTTCGGCAATCGGGCTCTGGTCAGATGCCTCATACGGGCAGGATACTATTGGCCCACCATGAAAAAGGAGGCCGGTCACCAATGCCATCGTGTGCCCCCTCTTGGCAGGGCGAGGTAACGTATTCCCCGATGATTCACCAAGTGGGAAAACATATCCACTCGGTCATCTCACCTTGGCCGTTCATCAACTTGGGAATGGACATCGTATGCCCCTCCTGGCAGGGCGAAGTGACGTATGATTCCTTTTGGTTTTAACTGACTATTTTTCTAAGTTGGTGGAAGCAGGAGCATTATCCCAAATACGTGAACAGGAAGTGATCGCCTTTATATAGTAAAACATCATATGCCGGTTCGGCCTCCCCAAAGAGATCAGTGTGACAACGGACCCTAGTTCAAGGGAAAGAAGACCGCCGAATTATTTGAGAAATGGCATGTCAAAAGGATACTCTCGACGCTATATCACCTTGCGGGCAATGGACAAGCAGTGTCCTCCAACAAGTCGATACTGAACATCATGAAGAAAAAGCTTGAAGACGCCAAGGGAGTGTGGCCAGAAATATTGCTAGAAGTACTATGGGCCTATCGAACAATGCCAAAGACGATCACAGGAGAAACGCCCTACTCGTTGGTCTATGGGACCGATGCAGTAATACCAGTCGAGGTCAGAGAACCCATCCTAAGGTACTCCCATAAAAGAGGACCAAGGAACGATGAAAGCAGAAGGCAGGAGCTCGACGAACTTGAAGAACGAAGAGACATGGCCTACATAAGGATGATCACCCAAAAACAACAAGCATAACGCTATTATTACAAAAGGGCAAAGGTCAGGCCGCTCAAAGTCAGGGACTATGTGCTTAACGCTAAAACACAAGCGAGTAACGACCCACGCAAAGGCAAACAAGGAACAAATTGGGACAATCCGTACAAAATCACGACAAAAGCGAATAAAGGGTCGTTCCAACTAGAAATAATCGAAGGAAAGCTACTAACAAAAAACTAGAATATTACCCACCTCAAGTACTTCAACTTTTAAGAGATAAAGCGTCTCCCAAGTCGTACTCTGTTTTACCTCACTTGATTTTTGTCCCAATTGGGTTTTCTCAATGAGGTTTTTAACCAGACGACGAAGGGAACACTTCAAGTCAAAGTACATAAAGATGGGGCCAGGACGGCTAGTTCATTGCTCGACCTCTCAAGCACTCTCCAGGTCAACAAATGAAAGGACTAGATAGACTGGGACTGGAACGCCAGCCAACACCCGCAAATTTGTAAATTTCTCCAAATGTATGACCAAAGCAGCAATGCTTAAAGTTTACGGTTTCGACAAACTTCGCACTTATCGGAACACATATCGGCCCTCGGCCATAATTAAATTTAGGCTATGTTCGACTTCGTTCGAACTAACACCTACCGGCCCTCGGCCATAATTAAATTTAGGCTATGTTCGACTTCGTTCGAACTAACACCTACCGGCCCTCGGCCATAATTAAAATTTAGGTTATGTTCGACCGCATTCGAACTAACACCTATCGGCCCTCGGCCATAATTAAAATTAGGTTATGTTTGACCTCGTCGAACTGATGCCTACTGGCCCTCGGCCATAATTAAACTTAGGTTATGTTCGACCTTGTTCGACTAACACCTACCGGCCCTGGGCAATAATTAAATTTAGGTTATGTTTGACCTTGTCCGAACTATCACCTATCGGCCCTCGGCCATAATTAAACTTAGGTTAATGTTCGATCTTGTTCGAACTAACACCTACCGGGCCTAGGCCATAATTAAATTCAGGTTATGTTTGACCGTGTTCGAACTAACACCCACCAGCCCTCGACCATAATTAAACTTAGGTTATATTCGACCTTGTTCAAACTAATACCTACTAGCCCTCGGCCATAATTAAATTTAGGTTATGTTCGATCTTGTCCTAACTAACACNGGGCCAGGACGGCTAGTTCATTGCTCGACCTCTCAAGCACTCTCCAGGTCAACAAATGAAAGGACTAGATAGACTGGGACTGGAACGCCAGCCAACACCCGCAAATTTGTAAATTTCTCCAAATGTATGACCAAAGCAGCAATGCTTAAAGTTTACGGTTTCGACAAACTTCGCACTTATCGGAACACATATCGGCCCTCGGCCATAATTAAATTTAGGCTATGTTCGACTTCGTTCGAACTAACACCTACCGGCCCTCGGCCATAATTAAATTTAGGTTATGTTCGACCTTGTTCGAACTGACACCTACTGGCCCTCGGCCATAATTACTTAGGTTATATTTGACCTTATTCGAACTAACACCTACCGGCCATCGGCCATAATTAAAATCTTGTTTGAACGAATGCCCACCATCCTTTGGCCGCCATTCGCCATTAAGTGATCACGGTCAAAACATCAAGGCAACCAAGCAACAGAATTAAAAAACATACAAATGCAAAAATGAACCGCAGGAAGAGAATCAGATACAAATAGTGAAGTTGGCATTTCATACTTGAAATATTTTTTACAAAGGCTCATGAAGACGCCACCAACAACACGCAAAAATATACAAAAATCAAAAGAGAACTATTAGCCACCACCATCAAGGCCCTCAACATCCCCACCGAATTGGTCCTTAACAATGTCGCCCCTTTGACCTTCAACACCCTCTCCATCGCCGCCTTCGCCCTCAGGATATGCAGCGTCATACTAGGCATTCTGTTCAAGCCAGTCTACACATTCGTCCCCCTCGTCCTCGCCGGCCTCAG